AGTTAAACTGAAAGGCTTCTGCATAGCAAAAGAATCAGCAGAGTAAACAGAGAACCCACAGAGTGGGAGAAAATCTTCTCAAAGTATGCATCTGACAAAGAACTACTATCCAGAATCTACAAGGAACTCAAATCAGCAAGAAAAAAACAATCCCATCAGAAAGTGGGCTAAGGACATGCATAGACAATTGACAGTTGTCAAAAGAAGATATACAAAAGGCCAACAAGCATATGAAAAAATGCTCAACATCACTAATGATCAGGGAACTGCAAATCTTTTCTTTTTTTTTCTTTTTTTTTTTTTTTTGAGACGGAGTCTCGCTCTGCCGCCCAGGCTGGAGTGCAGTGGCCAGATCTCGGCTCACTGCAAGCTCCGCCTCCTGGGTTCACGCCATTCTCCTGCCTCAGCCTCCCGAGTAGCTGGGACTACAGGCGCCCACCACCTCGCCCGGCTAGTTTTTTGTATTTTTTAGTAGAGACGGGGTTTCACCGTGTCAGCCAGGATGGTCTCGATCTCCTGACCTCGTGATCCGCCCATCTCGGCCTCCCAAAGTGCTGGGAACTGCAAATCAAAACTGCAATGTGATGCCCCCTTACTTCTGCAAGAATGGCCATAATCAAAAATAATAGATGTTGGTGTAAATGTGGTAAAAAGGGAACACTCCTGCATTGCTGGTGGGAACGTGAACATGAACAATCACTGTGGAAAACAGTGTGGAGATTCGTTGAAGAACTATTAGGTTGGTGAAAAAGTTACTGCAGTTTTTGCCATTAGTTTCAATCAGCAAAATCCATAATTACTTTTGCACCAACCTAATAAAAGTAGCGTTTTTGGTCCAGCAATCCCACTACTGTCTACCCAGAAAAAAAAAAAAAAAAAAAGTCATTATACAAAAAAGATACTTACACACACGTTTATAGCATCACAATTTGCAGTTGCAAAAATATGGAACCATCCCAAATGCCCGTCAATCAACAAGTATATGTATATACACCACATTTTCTTTATACATATATATACACACACACTCACACCTACACACACACACCATGGAATACTACTTGGTCATAAAAAGGAATGGAATAATGGCATTCACAGCAACCTGGATAGAATTGGAGACTCTTATTCTAAGGACTTTGGGAACTTGGGGCAAAGGGTGGGACAGGGATGAGGGATAGAAGAGTACACATTGGGTACAGTGTACACTGCTTGGGTAACAGATACACAAAATTTCAGAAATCACCACTAAAGAACTTATCCGTGTAACCAAACACCACTTGTTCCTCAAAGACCTATTGAAATAAAAAATAAAATTTAAAAAAATAAAATTTGAAAGCTTAGTAAAATCCAAGAAGGATACACACATACACATATACATATATATAAATGAAACCATAGATACCTCCTAATTAAACTGAAGAAAATGAAAAATTTATAATCCTTTAGAGTATACATATACACGTGTGTGTGTGTGTGTGTGTGTGTGTGTGTGTGTGTGTGTGTGTATGAAAGAAACCATACCTAGGTACCTCCTGATTAAACTAAAAAGAAAAGTACAAAAGCAACCAGAGGGGGAAAAAAATGTGTTAGGTTCAGGGAAATCATAGTAAGAATGATGCCTTCCTTCTCATAAGAAGTAATGGAATGAAATCATTTTCTAAAAGCAAATGGCTATTAACCTAGATTTCAATACCCAGGAAAACATTCTTTGTAAATTAATCCCTACTAAAGATTTTTCAGGAAAAAACAAAACATAGTCACCAGCAGACTTACACTAAAAAATAACAGGGGGTTAAGGATCTCATGTGAAAGCCTGGATCTGTAAGAAGGAATAAAGATAAATATATCGGTCTAAAACAACAATACTGAAAGTGTATTATGGTGTTTATAACATATAGAAGTTAAATACAAGGCAGCAAAAGCCTGAACGGTGGTTGGATAAATGGGGTTAACACTTTTAAGTTGCTTATATTATTCTTGAAGTAGAAAAAATCCTAATTCAAAGTATAGTAAAGTTGTATATTGTAATCGCTATATTAGCCATTAAAAAATATGAAGAGATGTAGCTAAAAAGCCATCAGAGGACATAAAATGGAAGAGTAAAACTATTTGACTATTCCAAAAGAATATAGAAAAAGAGGAAGAAAAGAACAAAAAGAAATGCAGTAAGATAGCAAAATGCTAAACTTCAGCAAAGCCGTATGAGTAATTGCATTAAATGTAAATAGTCAAATCATTGAAAGGCAGAGATTGTTAGACTGGACAACCTAGCAGTAATGTTTATTGATAGATTGATTCTTTATTCTGCTGACAGACTGCCTTTCTAATTTTTTTCATTTTTATTTGTTGATAGGTCGATTTATTCTACCTATATTCTATATTCCTGAGTTCATTAGGACATATGCAGATTTTAAAATATTCCATAATAACATCAACATTTTAACTATATTCCTTTACAATTATGTTGAATGAACATAACATGTATAATTTAGAGTATAAACAATAGTATTTTTATTTATTACAGATTTACCAGAAAGTAAGTGTATTATTAGTGTTCTCCAGAGAAACAGAACCAGTGGGAAGTCCATAGAGAGAGAAAGGTTTACTTTAAGGGATTGGCTCAAACATTGTGGGGGCTGGCAAGACCAAAATCTGCAGGCTAGGCCAACAGGAGGGAGACTAGGAAAGAGTTGCAGTTCCAGTCTGAGGGCAGCCTGTTGGCAGAATCCCCTCGCTGTCAGGTGAGTTGTCATTTTCTTAAGGCCTTCATCTGATTGAATGAGGCCCAAGTACATTATGGAGGGCAGTATGCTTTACTCAAAGCCTTATGATTTAAATGTTAATTCCATCCAAGACCTTCAAAGAAATATCTAGAATAATGTTTGATCAAGTATCTGGGTACCATGGCCTAGTTAAGTAGAGATATAATACTATCCATTATAGCAAACTATTTATTATAAGCTTTCAATTATTGTTATACCTTAATAAAAGTGAAATGAGATACAGATAGGTTTTTAAGTAAAATTTACCTAAAATAGGAAGTTATTTTGATACATTTTTTCTAAAGTTTATTCCTTTCTATTTATTTTTTACTGCAAGCTTGAACAAACATGCATAATTGTATCTCCAAATGATATTATTTATATATGTAATCTAAATTTAAAACTAAGATTATAACTTTATAATCCACTTTTTGAAATTCTAATTTTCAAAACATTCTTATCCTAAAATTGAAACTCTAAAATCTGTTGAGTTTTTTTGTTTTTTTTTTCTTGTTATCATATAAACTATGTGTATAGATTTTTTCCTGGTTTACTTTGGTTTTTATTATTTTAAAGTTCCTTTTCTCCAATTGAAATTACTTTCTATTTAGATAAGAGTTTAAAAATCGGTAATCAGCCTAGGTCAATTTTATAGCTGTCAGATTACAGTAGCGAGAAGACGTGTGTGAGATGTTGTTAATTGCTGAACTCTGGCATGACCACTCTCATTTGAAAGCCAGTTGCCATGCCACACAGTTCTCAGTGGTTGCAGCTAGGATTGTGAGACTGTAGGGGCTGACAAAGTTGGGATTTCTCAATTTATTCTCTGTATGCTTCTGTATTGTTAAAATCTTACAATAGGAATCTACATTACTTGAGTATTTGCCTGCGTGTTGTACCCTTTGAAAAAAAAAAATTTACCCAAAACTGGTGTTACTCTATGAAGAAGAGTGTCTTTCCATCAAAATTACCTTAAAGATTTTATTACACTTAAGATGAAACTCTGTTAATTTGCTCTGTGGTAGTTCTTCAAAAAAGGATATCCATATTTTACTAGACTCTTGTAGTCAGAAACTGTAATATATTCATCTTTTATCACTGGGTGCCAAGAATAACCACTCAAAAATATTAGTCAATTGAATGAAGGTAGTATAGTGCTTTATACTTCACTGGCTAACAATAAATGTTAAAAAAATTTAATGAAACAAAAACTTACTTTAATCATGTTTCATGATTCATTTTGAAAATACTCTTGCAAAGCGATAGAAAGTGATTGTTTGTGTTGATCTCACTTAATTCTTTACCATACTTTAAGAAAAATGAGTCATATGCTTTTAGAAGAAGAACTAATATTTAAACTAGGAATTTTACTAATTGCTATTAACAGACATTGTAGTTCTTGCCTCTAGTCCTGCATATGACAACCTTTAGCATTATTTGAACAAACTGTGTTAATATCCTAAATTATAGGTTAGTTTGCTGGTAGACAAAAATTAGGAATTAAACAAGACCCACACTTGTGTTCATTTTTAACTTGAGTTAGACTTTGAACCAGTGTCTTTACAGATGAGATGTCCTATGTCACGTCCTGAAAGGCTGTTTATTACAAAGAAATGCAGTAGAGAACATTGAGAACAAAAAGATAAATCCACAAATGATAAAAGAATATTTCTCGAGGTTAGCCGTCTGTGTTACCATTTTAAAGGAGGGAATCAGGGGAACATTTTTCTTCAGATACTCATGGTGATTGAATAAATAGAGTATGTCATAGTAGGAAGTCAGATGATCAAAGAGAAATTCAGATGGATTTATTTATTCTTTTGAGAAAATAAGACAGTGGTGATTCACTTCATAGCCCTTGTGACACTTCTTTTTAAAAACTTCATATCCTTGAATCAGAAATAAAACTTTCATAGAAGAAAAGCAGCAGAGCCCAGATAATGGTGTGATTTTTGAGCTGAGAGCAGGATATGGACGCATCTTGCACTATTGCTAGGCATCACTTGAATGGGAAAAAAGACTTAGCTAACCTTGAGTCAGTTTAGCTAAACTCACCAACTGTTTCTGACCAAAGAATTCATGATACATCTTTAAAGGATCCTGCCTTCCGAGTGAGACTTTTTTCTTGGAAGCTGTGTGAGTCATAATAAATGTTTTTCCACTAAAATGGCATAAATATTTTCAACATGAAATGGACAGGCTTAATAACCAAATATTCACATTGTTTTCTTTCCACAGGGATTATCAGCATAGGAAGAAAGCCTTGTAACCATCAGGTAGATACAGCACCAACGGTAAGACAGTCTGTTGCTGCATTGTTAAAAGTGTTAAGAAACTACAAAATTATACTGGTTATAGTTACAGTGGCATTGTAGAAAGCTCTTACAACCTCCCTTTTGCCGAAAGTTATATCCCTGCAAGATTGGTTTATATTAATGTTGTTAACTTAGAGATAATTTATAGTTTTGATAATGTAATGTAAATATTTGTACGAATTGATTTTTACCGTTCTAAAAATGAATGTTATTTTGTGCACCAGCATCAGCATCATTATTTAAAGTGAATGTTTTATAATAGTGAAAAAAGGCCATTATGCTTCATTTCTCTTATAGGTTACTTTGCTTTATTATTATAGAACTGAAGTCTTATCTTTTATCCCTCTTCTCAACAAAAGGCATTTAACAATTATAGCATCTATTCACTATATTTAAAAAGTTTTATTAATAAAAGGAAGAGAATTAGATTTCCCTTTTAGTCTCTAAATATAATATTTGTGTGAAACATATATTAGTTGCTAGTTTGCAATTAAAAGACTCATAAGGTGATATGGAGTACACTGTACATTCCCTAGTCCTACTCTTACTTCTTATCCTTTGTATTCATAAGTCTTCCACGTACTTCCTGTGATTCTCCATTTCCTGCTGCGAGAAAGATTTGGTGATATAGGTTGAGTATCCCTTATCCAAAATGCTTGGGACCAGAAGTGTTTTGGATTTTGGTCTTTTTCAAGTTTTGGAACATTTGTGTTACACTTCCTGCATCCCTGAGCCAAAAATTAGAAATCCAAAATGTCCCAATGAACATTTTCTTTGAAAGTCATGTCAATGTTCATAAAGTTTCAGATTTTGGAGGATTTCATATTTCAGGTTTTTGGATTAGGGATATTTAAACTGTACCAATTAAGAAAATAAAGATGGCCGGGCGTGGTGGCTCATGCCTGTAATCCCAGCACTTTGGGAGGCCAAGGCGGGCAGATCACAAGGTCAGGAGATCGAGACCATCCTGGCCAACATGGTGAAACCCTGTCTCTACTAAAATATAAAAAATTAGCTGGGCGTGGTGGTGCATGCCTGTAGTCCCAGCTACTCAGGAGGCTGAGGCAGGGGAATCGCTTGAACCCAGGAGGTGGAGGTTGCTGTGAGCAGAGATTGCGCCACTGCACTCCAGCCTGGCACCAGAGCAAGACGCCATCTCCAAAATAAATAAATAAAGATAATATTAAAGTATTTGAATTGTGTTGATGATTAATATATGCCTCAGTAGCAAATTGACTCTATTTTCTATTTGTAGTAAATCCCTATGATTGATTTAACATGTTTGATAACTTAATATGTGGGACTCCAGAAAAGACCAGTACATGAGGAATTAGCATACTCATTAAAAAGTACTTGACTGTAGTATGTATGTTTCAGTTATCCTTTTGTAAATATGCTAAAAGAGTAGCCATAACATGATTATAAATTTTATTCTTTAGTATTAAAAAATTAAAGATGGCAATTAAGAAAAATTTATTATTTTAATATATTTGAATAATATACTCAGTCCTTTTTGATGTATTTTTTTGAAGAAGGATTGGCTGCTCTTCTCCTTCTGTGTCTCTGCTACAAACTAAGGATGTTACTACCTCTCTCCGTGACAGCCCCCCGGCTTGCCAACACTTAATCTTTGCCCTTTCTCCATCACCTCTAAATGGAATCATAAGTCTGTTCATTATTATTACCCAATGCTCTCTGGTCCCAGACCAGAACAGGTAAAGTCTGATTTTCACAGAAATGTAATTTTACCTAATTTCCATCCTTGAACCTATATTCTCTTATTTTCTTTAAAGGGCTTAGGAGAAGAAAATGATTAGGATAGGGAGGAAAAAAAGGAGTCTGTCTAAATATGTATCAAAGTAGGATATTTGTAGCCCCAAACTTTGTATTCTGCTGACTCAAAAAGAAGAGATACCGTGATTTAAGTATCTGTTAGAGCCTGAGAAAAAAACAGAAAGGGAGTGAGCCAGGATTTTAGAATAGCTGAGGCTGGGACCCCGAGTGACTTCTCGACCCCAGACTTAACCCTCGATTCCCAGCTTACTTCTTTACCCATTTTCACACCCACATCCTGCTTGCTCCAAGTACTGCCATGAATGGCAGTTCTAGGAGAGTGCTATATGCTAGTTGCAGCCATTAAATGGGTGAGGGAAATGAGCAAATGAGAATTTATCAGACCTCTTTTCAAAGGAAAGATGTTTTGGTTTTTTTTGTTTTTTTTTTTCTCTTTTTGAGACAGTCTCGCTCTGTCGCCCAGGCTGGAGTGCCGTGGCTCAATCTTGGCTCACTGCAATCTCCTCCTCCCAAGTTCAAGCAGTTCTCCTGCCTCAGCCTCCTAGGTAGCTGGTATTACAGGTGTGCGCTACCACGCCCAGCTAATTTTTGTATTTTTAGTAGAGACGGGGTTTCACTATGTTGGTCAGGCTGGTCTCAAACTCCTGACCTCGTGATCCGCCCGCCTCGGCCTCTCAAAGTGCTAGGATTACAGGTGTGGGCCACCGCGCCCCGCCGGTATGTTTCTTAACATTCCAAGTTGGAATTCTGAATGAAGTTTACAGTAAATATATGGTTATGGTCAATCAAACTTGAGTTTGATTCTATAGTGCTATAATATAATCCAGTGTCCCTTCAGTAAATAAAGATCAGCCTGAGAACAAAGCCACCTCTGTCCCTTTGTTCCATGTCACCTCTCACTCTCTTTTTAATTTACTTGTTTCCTTTTTGTTTTTGATTCACTACATGAACTTTGATTTTTTTTGTTTGGGTTTTTTTTTCTTTCTTTCTTACAAATAGTACCATATTTGTTTTTTTGAGATACCTTTAATAGAAAGTGAAAAAAAAATCTCCACATGACATGACATGACACCCCCTCCAGGAAAAAGAATCAAACCTCTATTTTACCTGTCTGTAATCACTTAATTTTTTTTTTTGGCATGCTGAGCTCTTAATTTTGTTTATACCTCAGAGTACATTTTCTAGTTGTTCTTCAAGAATTAGAAAATGGGAAGTGAATTATCCGAGTCTACATATTTTTAAATACTTGTCAGTTGCCTTTACTATTAGACAGCTTGCCAGGATTTTTAATTACTTGAACATAACCTTTTCTCCTCAAAATATTGTGGAAATTGATTATCTTTGCATTCTGGCATTTGGTATTGCAGAAGAGACATTGGACATCAGACTGCTAGTCATCCTCTTGTGTAAGGAACCTATGTAGCCTGCTCGTATATTATAGATATTGTTTTATTTTCTTTATACCTGATGTCCTAGGTCAGTTTTGATGGTTAAATGTGTGACTTTCTTTTCACTGATTTTTGTCCTGAATGATATTCATTCAGACACTGTACTATTGATAATAGAAAAAGTAAATAAGACATGAGATAATCATGATGTTAGATTATACGAAAAGATTTACATCGTGCCACTTTAAGAATTAGTCCCTCTGCACCTGCTTATCGCTTATAGTAAGTTAAGGATAATATCAGCCTCAGATTAATCAGACGTTATTGTCTGAACCCTAAAAGGCAGGTGTAAAAGTTAGTTAATTGTTAAGTCAGCACAAGTGTGAGTCCTGTATTTACTTTATATGAAGGACTTATTTGCAAACCAAAGGGAAATGGCTACTAGCATAAGGAAGTATTCCCCCAGGAACATAGTTAAAACATATCTACCTTTCAGTGTACAGTCATACGCGTGGCAAATCCCATAGCTTTTCACATTTTCTGGCAGAATTAATATACATGTAAAATACATTGAAACATAATAAGCCATACTGAAGATATAATTTCTAATGTCTTGAGGAGTATTGTTTTTGAATCTCTTCCAGTGAAAACTAATATGATAAAATTCAAATGACGTCAATATGGCCTATTCGAATGAATAACTTAAATTTTTGTACAACTCCTACATTCCAAAGTTGTAATACTAATATTAATATTTTCAGTTTTTATTCGATGACCCTGTAACCCCTGGTAGAGAGAACAAAGCTTCTTTTAGCAAATGGATTTTGGGCAGTATATAAAATTACAGCTTGCATTTTCACAGAGGCCTACACATCTATCACAACAGGTTGAAATAAAATCCAGACTGTCTCATCAGGATTATACCAACTATGAAACACTTGCCACGTGTCTTTGTCTTAAGTATTCTTTTAATTATTAGAATTTAAAGCATCCTAACCTGATCGGAAATTTAAATGTTGATTCATTATTCTTCATATTTATAAGACCAATTTTAAAAGCTATTAATTTATTCCTTCTACAGTTACCCTTCTTCAAAGTTTTCCAAGGGCTGAATGAATTTTTGTCACATGATTTTTCATCAGTAGTAAACTTTAATATGCGTTAGACTTATTTTGTTATTCTGAAATATTTCTGAGATGTTTGTAATGTTGTTTGCCATTAACACTAAACTTACTCATAAATGTATTGATCTGAATCATATAAATTAAATTTTATCCTGAATCTCTTGGATTATATAATATCTGTACTTACTCAACAACTGTTGAGTTGTGACTGTTGTTGGATTGTTATCCTTGTTTAGCCCATTCTGTAGATTCACAAGAGTGCCACCTATTGCACTATTATACTTTTGTATACTTTATACATATATTCATGTAAAATATGGCTGTTTCATATTTTAACATAATAATTGGGACAGCTTATATGTAGATACATGTATGAGTTCAAGTGAAATGTCCTTTATTCAAAGGAAGCACTTTATTTTCTACAATTTATTGCATTTTCCAAGAATTCATAGTATGTAAACTGGGGTGAATGGGCCCCTATAAAACTCATAAAGTAGAACCCATGGCCAATCTCTTCCTGTAGGTAATTGCAGGGTGGAGAGGGAACTAATAAACTATAAGCTTTTATAACTTGTCATAAAAGAACTTGTTTTCACTTATCAATAAAGTAGCAATTCAAAGCAGTTCTATTGAAATTCAAATATAAATGCAAAATATGTTCTCTTTAACAACCACTTGTAGTCTTCCATAATATAACATTTTTAAGTATATACACATCAGTTTATTTCTCCAGACATTATAAATTATGAAACTTATGTTGATTTTTTTTCCCATTAGCGTACCCTGCTGGATTTATGTTTTTCTTAGACTTTTTTCCCTCCATTTCTTTTTCAGTTTTGCTAAATTTCTCTACCTGAAAAACTCTTAAAATTCTGAAAATTTTATATTACTGGAAGATATAACAGCAGCATAAATTGAATTTTCTAAATTATCAGGAAACATTAGATATACAATATACATAGGATAGTAGTACCATACCAAGCACTGGAGAGGTATGGAAGTACTATGGGAAAAGTAGAAATACCAAAAAAAAAAAAAAAAAAGCATAAAACATGGTTTTACAGGTGTTTAGATATCATATCGATAGAGAGATAGATAGATAGATAGATAGATAGATAGATAGATAATGTGTCTTTAGTTCTTGATGTCATTAGAAAAGTGATCTGTAAACAACTAAACCCTAATATATGAAATGTATAAAAAATTCAGAGCAATAATGGAAGGGATGTCATGTTACTGAGGCAGTTTGTGCCCAAGTATAGGAATATGGTGTAAGGTTTTGAGTGCTGTAGGAATTCCCAGGACTGAAGTGGTTTAGGAAGGCTGTTTAGAGTTGGAAAGTGCTAAACCAGATCTTGAAAGGATGAGATTTTTAAAACAATAGGATTTGCTAGACCAGAGTAACAGTGTGACCAAAGATCATAGAAGGGCACACTGTGTACACAGAGTTTATAGATGGGTAGAAAATTTGACTGCAGCAGTGTAGATGAGATAGTGGAAGATTATAAAATGTGATTTGGGCATAATTTATAAAGATCATTGAATGTTAGGTTAACAGTTAAGACTATCTGTATAAGCAGTAGTAAGGCATTTGATCATGAGAATAATATGATCAAGGGAGTAATGTTTTAAAAGGATTAAATAAAAGCAGCTCATGGAATTGCAGGTGGTGGCGATAGGAAGAAGGTAACTGAGCTGTGAAGCTACCGAAATCTACATTTGTGGTGATAAGGATTTGAACAAGGGGACTATCGGGATCAATCTGGAAATGGAAATAGAGGTATGCTTATAAAAAAGACTTGGAGATGAGAGCTGATGAAAGGGACTCAAAGGAAAACTTGTAGTTCAAAAAGGAGATCCCATTTTTGGAAGGCCCGGGCATAGGTTATGGGAAGTCACGTATAATTGCGTGCAGGTTCTTCACAATAGGCATCCAAAGGCCCCATCCGAGAAGGTGGCGTAGGTCCAGAGTCTTTAGAAACAGCTGAGTCAGGAACGATTCTCCTCCTACCCACCTCCGAAATCTCTTCCACAGAGCTGTTTATCCAAACCACAAATATGATCATGTATTTAAGATCCTGTGGTGTACCTCATCACCTGCCAGATGAAAACTTAATTGTTTCGTATGTCATTTGAAACCCTTCGGCTACTTTTCTAAACTTATCTCCAGTTTGTCCCAGTACTCACTCTGGCCACTGAGTTATTTGCAGTTCCTAAATATGCCTATGGTTTCTCACATACAGAAGCAATGTTCAAAGTAAAGAACACTGATTCCAGAACCAAATTACTTGGTGTCAAGTCCTGATTCTTTGGCTGTGTTTGTCTTTAGTCACGTTTCTTTACCTCTTTGTGCTTCAGTTTGCTCATCTGTAAATGGGGATAATACCTACCTCGTGGAATGTTATGAGAAATAAATGAGTTTATGCAAATGGGACCTCGATATATTTCTGTATACCAGCTGCTGAATATTATTTAATTACAGGAGATAGCCAGATATTAAGGACAAGAATATATTTCAAGCTTGAGAAGTAAAACTAGGTCAAGAATCAAAGGGAGGACCCAAGGGTCCCAGTTAGGTCAAGGAGATCAGGAACAAGGAAACCTGGTGAATGTTGCCTCCCACAGCTGGCTTGTGTCTTAGTCAATTTTCTTTCTTCTTTTTTTCTGTTATTTTTTTTGTTGTTGTTTTATTTATGTGTGTATTTATTTATTGCATATTGTGACTCTTCCCTGGAATCAGTGCAGAAGTTCAGTTACGCCAGGACAATAGGCATGAACTGGGACTATCTGGGGCAACCCTAAATATCTGATCACCTTATTCATCAGTTCTGTAAGTGATGATAGCCTAAGTGATCTTTTACAAATGTAAATCAGAATGGGATAACCTCCTGCTTAACACCCTCAGTAACTTCTCCTTATGTTTAGGATAAAACCCAAACCCTTTCCCAGGGCCTATAGGACCTTGCATGATCTGCTCTCTGCCTGTCTCTTCAGCATCATCCTATGTTACTCTGTTCTGAGTTTCTTGAGCATAAGTAACCTTTCTCCCACTCACCCATAGACCTTCGAATATTTGGTCTCTCTGCCCCTGACTATACACAAGCTTTTGCATAATAGGCTTTTTCTTGAGATCCCAGGTAAATGTTAACTTTTCAAAAGACCTTCCTTCACCCCCATTAGTCTTTATTATTACACCTTTTTTTTTTCTCAGCAGTTATCCCAATTTGGAATTTTTTTATTTATTTTCTTATCTGGTCTTCCTCAGTTGGATGTATGTTCCATGATAGCATGGACCATGTCCATCTTACTCACCACTGCTTATAGGCCTTCAGTGGATACTGCTTAAATGAATGAATATATATGTGATGAAACTATAAAAATAAATAAGAACAGAGGGCCAGCCTGGATGTGTGTCCATATTTTAAAAGTTGGAAGAAGAGCCCTCAAAGAAGACAAAATGTAGAAAAGGAGGCAGGAGATCAGGGATAACGTAGCATCTCGGAAACCAATGCAAGTATGGAAATGGAGGGTGTTTTTATGCTATCTCTGGGAGAATGAGAGCAGGGCCCAGAAAGGAAGCTGGATGGTCACACTAGGAGGCATGGTGAATCAGAAGCAATTCAAGAGGCTCATCATGAGAGGAGATGGAAAATAGAATAGCAATTAATTTAGCCCTGTGGATATGTTACTGACTCATTTCAGAAAAGAAAACATTTTGCCAAAAGAACTGCCATGAGATAAACCTATATAGAATGTGAAATAAATATTTCTTTTTCCATGTTCTGTGAAAGTGAAAAGTACAGTTTGGGTAATTATACAACAGTATTCCGTTCAAAATAAATATTTATCAGATGGAAGGAAAGATCCAGCAGTATGAATGAGGCAGGAGAAAGATGCAAACTGAGTTTTAGCATTTGACAAAGGAGTAGAGTAGGTCAATTGTGCAAGGTGTCTTACCAAGGGACTTACTTTTCTAATTGCTAAAATGAGGAGAGTTGAAAAAATTGATCTTAAAGTCAACTTTTGGGTCTGAAGTTCTGTGAGTCTTTTTCAACTGCTCGTATTGCTCAAAGACAATATATTAGAGCAGAAAAATGAAGCACATCTCTAGTGGTCATCCTTTGAATGCTCACTTATCATTTTATTTATTCTTAGGATTCAGTTAGAATTCACTTCCCTATATTATAATGTGGCAGTTAACGCCACCACCATTTTTGTTGAAAACTTCATGCTGCTTAATAAGTGGGCATAGGTTAGTTGTTGTTGGTAGATCAGAATCTAAGTCTCTTCACTATAGGGCCCAGTCTCCACCTTCATAAAATCAGTGCTTGATAAACAATGCTAAGCAGTGGGATGTGGGATCCAAATATCTGTGCAATTTAGCCAGCAGATGGGTTGGAGAACACATGTAGTATATAGTGTGAAAGAGGGAGGACACTGGTCAGGCTGCCTAGTGTTCTACTGAATGAACACCCAGTAATCTGTTTTCTTCATTTCATAAAATCTCACTATTTTTTCTAAGATAAGAAAAGGGGCAGGTGCAGTGGCGCATACCTGTAATACCAGCACTCCCAAGGTGGGAGGATCGCTTGAGGCCAAGAGTTCAAGACTGGCCTGGACAACACAGCAGGAACCCGTCTCTTAAAAACATTTTTTTTTTAATTAGTCAGGTGCAGTGTCATGCACCTGTTGTCCCAGCCTCTGTGGAGGCTGAAGCAGAAGGATCACTTGAGCCCAGGAGTTCAAGACTGCAGTGAACTACAGTCACACCACTGTATTGCAGCCTGGGCAACATATAAATATTAAATTACTAAACTTAGTAGTGCTTTGTTGTGAACATTAATGATATAATAAAGGCTTACATGTATTGAACACTTACTGTGTTACCAGTATATAGTTCTGATATCTATGCCTACTTTTATTCTGCATAATTCTATTTGGTAGATATTATTATTTCCATTTTATAAATTTGAAACTGAGGCACTGAAAAGTGAAGAGAGGCTTCCCTAGGATCACACACTTAGTAAATATAGAGCCAAGAAGTTATTTTCTCTTAACATGTTACATAAAAGCTTCTGAAGTTATTGAGATTTCCATCAAGAGTTTTTCAGAGACTGTGTTACCTACTAATATTGGAATATTGTGATAAGAGTATTGAGACATTTCTAGTATGTTTCTAGTCATTTAAGTTCAGCATATGAAAAGAGTATCAGTAGTTACTAAAGAAAGTGTACCCTTACTTGTGGATACATTCTTTTCGGGGAAAAGATAAAAACTAGTTCTATGTTAAGAACACTGTGTTCATTAATTACTCAAGTTTTGTTCTTTGCTACAGATAATTAGTGTATTAGCTTTGCTCTGCATTTAGATCGTTGTAGTACAAATAAGTTTCCTCTTATGTAAATATAGCTCTTAAGATGTTTGAGGACTGATGTTTCATCTTGTTCTTCTCTTTTTTAGGCTATGTCCTTCCTTTTTTTTTTTTTTTTTTAACTTCTCTTAGTATTGATTCCTTTCCAATTTATTTATGTTCTTCAGAAAAGTGGCATTTAGAACTAGACTTAATGTTCCATTTATAATACAAAAAATGTAGTGGTATTATTGGTTTCTATTATCTGGATATTTTGTTTGTTGTTGAATTGTGACCTACCATAACTCCTTGATGTTTTAAAGATAGGCCGTCAAGACAGATCTTCTCGTTATTTATATATTTGTGCCTCATACTATCCTTATATCTGGAAAGAAGATGAGAATAGTGTCTGCCTTAATATTATTCTGTTGTTTCAAGTACTAAATACTGTGTCTAATACACAGTAATTTCTCGGCCATTAGCTATTACTATTTAACCCTAACTGCAAAGTTGTCCATTTATTTTTACTGAATTTCATAGATTCATTTTTGACTCACTAACCTGCTTGTCAATATTCTTTTGAATCTTGATTTTCTCAACTATGGTAATAGCTCTCTTCCAAACTTTGTAACATTGACAAGTTTTATAATGCCTCATCTAAGTTTTCTTTATTCAAAAACGTTAGAAAAATATTAAACAGTGCACAAAATCAAAATGGCAGCATTTTTTTTTCCTGTAGGCAATTTAAGTTTTTATTTTTAAGTAATTTTACCTGGGGAGTGTTATTACTTAATAGTAATTTCAGTGTTGTATTGTACTTTAACAAAGCATTTACTGCATGCTTTTAAAATAAGATACAGTGGTTACTTAAAATTTCCCTTTCCCAAAAGGAAAATAAAATTTGACCACTCTAAGGAAGCAGTAATATAATCACTAGCAGCAAGCAAACCTTCAGTTAACAGGCCATGAAATGAAAGAAACAATTATTTGGAAAAGAAAAAATTTAACACACATGGTTATGGAGCATTACTTTCTATTTGGGGAGAAATTTAATCAAAGGTTATCAAACTACTAGCACCCTGGTTTTCCTGCCTAGATGGACATCTACCATCTGCCACTACTAATGTTCCATAGATTGTTTTTTTGCCATGATAAACATGTAAGTTCACCAAGTTTCATCTTCTTCTGATACTCTATCCTGTCATCTCAGTGTCCCCAGCAGTGAGATTGGTCTTTGACAGAGATAGCCTCACGGCAGTCACTAACACAGACACCCTTGGTATAACTACATAATTGGGTCACAGATTAGCTAGATGCATAAAGATTAAGTAAGATAAATCCCTAGAAGGGGGAAAAAACCCTTTTTATTCTGTATTTGAAATCAAACTTCATAAAGTTTTCTTGTCAGCTTATCTCTGGCTTTTACTATCTTATGGCAACACATGCAGACTTCTCTGGGAGCACTTTTTGGATTCAGAGCTTATTTTACCAAATCTGAAAATAAATCCTGGTTTTCAGCAGAGGAATTCCAGTTAGTGGATCTGCATTTGATTTAGAAAATATGATCACATTTATAGCTGTGAGTGTTCTACAGAAATATTTTACTACAAAACACCTTTCCTCTGTGATAATTTGAAGAACTTCAGGAATTGGATTATATTTATTGGGCACCTACTATATATTGTGCAAAGTAGATGATCTCACTTGAATGTCATAATAATTCTGTGAGATAAATTATTATCATCATCACCTTTTGCCAATGAGAAAACAGACAAAAGATCTTTAAGCGTCTTCTAGAATCATTTAGATTTAATGTGTTAATTCATTATGATAAATGAGCCAAAAATATTAACTCTAAAAGCAGAGTCAGTTTATGTGAATAAACCATTAAACTCTAATGTCATTCAGTGACACAAGGCAAATTTTGTGAAAATTGAGAGCAGTTTAGGTAGTATTAACAGCAGTTAGCATGTATGAAACAATGTATATTTTTAAAAGCCCTGCTACATACTGTATATTATCTCATCTGATCTTTGTAACGTAACTGTAACTTTCAATAGGATTAGGCAGGGAGTGTGACAATGAGGTTGGAGACAACAGGCACCACTGGAAAGGCTGAACAGAATGACAGCTAAAAAGAGCATGATGACCTTGATTTCCTCCTTCTTAATAAATCCACCATGGAAGTTATCTAAGAAAGCCAATTTCTAAAACATTTCTTGGAAAACATTCCATCAACCCACAAAGAAGTTTCAAACAGATAACGATCTGAGGCTAGTGGATAGAATCTTAGTCCGTTTCCTGGGAAGAGGGGCACTTCAGTTCTAATAGCTGTGGAGTGGGTTAAAGATGTGTAAGTAACAGAGTAATCTGGATGTGAGAAGGGGATCTTGGGGTTTGGTGGGAAGAAAGGGGCCCAGAAGCTGTGGTTTTTGTAGTGCACTGGCAGAGTCACCTGTGACCTTGAGAAAGGAAATTACAAACACCTGCTACACTTCAAACTATGCTACCCACATGCCACAGACAGCTGCTTGAAGGAAAGGAGTGAAGGAATGAGAAGGTGATTATTTGTATCACCCAAGACTGAGGTGATGGGGCTGTTTCCTCTCTTCCTTGAGACCTACTTGGTAAGCTCACTGTACACACTTAAGTTTCAGCTAATGTTCAAGCATGAATGACTGTCCAGCTGATATTCTAATCCTAATTCTTCTTTTCTTTCTCGTTTACTAGAAAAAAGATCTTTATAATCCATACTTAGACTGTTACCACTTGGTAATTTAAAGAACCTAAAAATAAGCACAGCTCGGCTGGGCGCAATGGCTCATGCCTGTAATCCCAAGCACTTTGGGATGCCGAGGTGGGTGGATCACGAGGTCAGGAGATCGAGACCAGCCTGGCTAATACAGTGAGACCCCCATCTCTACTAAAAATAAAAATAAAAATAATTAGCCAGGCATGGTGATGGGTACCTGTAGCCCCAGCTACTCGGGAGGCTGAGGCAGGAGAATGGCGTGAACCCGGGAGGCGGAGCTTGCAGTGAGCCGAGATCGCGCCACTGCACTCCAGCCTGGGCAACAAAGCAAGACTCCGTCTCAAAAATAAATAAATAAATAAATAAAAATAAAATAAAAATAAAAATAAGCACCGCTCAATAAAACTCCTGTCTTCCCCAGGACCTTCACTGGGCCTTTCCACTTTAGTTTTCTGTCATTGGTACTACCAGCTGTTTGGTCTTACGAACAATACCTTAGTGTAATATGTTAAGCTTAGCTAGTTCTCTTATGTCCCACATATGTTGCTTTCTCCTTTGATTATATTTCCACAGTCTAACCTCTTTTGTCTATTTCCATGGCCAGGATCAAGGTTGTCTTCTCTGATGTGGAGAAATATGGTCTCCTTATCTGTATTTTTGTTTGCACTGTTGCTTTCTTCGTCATAAGCAGCTACACTTCCTTTAACAATCATTTCCATGATGTTCTTTTTTTGTAACAGCTTGATTTGTATATAATTCACATGGCGTAAAATGCACCCTTTTAAAGTGTACTGTTCCGTGGTTTTAATATATTTTTAGAGTTTTGCAGCCACCACCTCTGTGTGATTTTGAAACATTCGTTGGCCCCCAAAAGAAATCTCATACTCATTAAAAATGATCCCTTCCATTTCTTCACTTCTAACAACTATTAATCAACTTTCCGTCTCTATGGGTTTGCCTATTCTGGATATTTTATATAAACGCACTGTGTAGCCTTTTGTGTCTGGCTTTTTTCACTTACCATAATGTTTTCAAGGTTCATCCATGTTGTGCCATGTATCAGAATTTCATTCCTTTTGAGGACCAAAAATAATATCAAGTATATGGATATGCCACATTTTTTATCCATTAATTCACTGATGGACATTTTGATTGCTTCCATTTTTAGCTACCATGAATATTACTCTGTGAGCATTCATGTACAGGTTTTTGCATGGACATAAGTTTTCCATTCTCTTGGGTATATATTTAGAAATAGAATTGCTGCATCATATGGTGACTCTGTTTAACCTTTTGAGGAACTGTCAAAATGTTTTCCAAAGCAACTGAACCACTTTACAATCACACCAGACATGAATGAGTGTTGCAATTTCTCCACATCCTAATCAGTAAAACTGATTCTTTATTATAGCTATCCTAGTGGATGGGAAGTGACGCCTCATGATTTTCATTTGCATTTCCCAATGACAATAATGTGAGCATCTTCTGAAATAACATTTGTATATTCTCTTTGGAGAAATGTCTAATTCAGATTCTTTA